TAGCTAGGGATGGTGGGAATTGTAGTCCAACAACATCTGGAGACCCAAGGTTGAGAAAGGCTGACCTAGATGGACCAGTGGTTTGATTCAGTATAAGGCAGCTTCCTATGTTCCTATGGGTCAGGGAAGAGCTGTAGCTGAGTGGCAGAGCACATGTTTTGCATGCCAAAGGTCCCAGGTTCAGTCCCTGGCATCTCTAGGTATGGCTGGGAAATAGCTCCTGTGTGAAACCATAGAGAGCCACCACCAATCAGTGCTATGCAAGATGGACCAATGGTATAAGTTGCTATAAGGCAGCTTTCTATTTCTCCCTACCCCTGTGCTGAGAGCTTCAATTAAATTGCCCCCACCATTGACTGCTTTTTTAAAAATAAACAAACTACAAACTGTGGGAGATCCTATTTGTCCAATTTAGCCCTTTGGAGGACACTATCCTGCATTATGTTTAGGGATTTGGGAGTAATTTGATTCTGTTTGCATTCAGAAGCAAACCTACCCAATGTATACTTTCCAAAACAACACATGAACCAAAATTCACACAACCACCCTGCGAAATTTACACTTTTCCAAATTTTGCAATGCAGTTCTTCAGCCAACTAATATACATAATTGCATATATTGTGGTAAAATGTGCGTTGAAATGCATATATTTGTAAAAACAGCATACAAAAGTGCATTACAGGAAACTTGATTTGTAAAAATGTGTATATTGAGCAATATTGCACACACAAATGTGCGTCTTATGAGAAATTCACACTAAAAGGCTGGTGAATTTTCAGGAGGACTTTAAAAGAATCCCAAACTCTTGTGAACATGTGACGAGCTGAATACTGGACAAATGAGAAAGTGTGAGAAAGCAAAGCTGATGGATATGTCTATCCCTTGTTATGTTATCCTTCACTGCTACATACGAAGTACTAGCAGGAACCAGTGGGGTGATAAGGGCAAAGAGAATGGGAATGTGCCCCTCATTTTAGAATCCCTTTAGTTCCCCCAACCTTCATGGAAGCCCATGTTTATGACAGCTTACAAGCCCATGGGGGCAAGAAACTAGTGGCCTTCCAGATGACTACAATTCCCATCATCCCTGACTCTTGGCCATCCTGGATGTGACTTGTGTCAGACCACAGGCTCCCCATCTTTGGCTTACCATTTCAGACAATGATTTGACCCCAAACACTTTCAGTCCATCAAAACTCTCCAGGTACTATGGCTAGAGATCAATCCCCAAAAGTGACCATGTGAATGGAACTTGGATCCTGTGGCTCCCGTTAGCAGGGCTTCAAACCAAGTTCTTGTTAATTAATTTCTATACCACTTATGTGACCAAAATGGCTTCTAAGTGGTTTACAAGTTCAAAATCAATTATAAACTATCTATGCATAATTGACACACACACACACACAGACATACTCCAGTGAAACATCCATAATTAAAATATACAATAAAACAAGCTTGTCAAAAAGCCTAACAATTGAAACATTTAAATGAGCGATTAAAATAATTAGATCAGGAAGTTCAAGTTAAGGCTGGACAAGGAGCTGAGATGAAAAGTGCAGTATAGATTTCCAAGCATCCTAAATAAGCCAAATGGTGACATCATCCTGCAGCAAAAAAAAATATATAAAAAAACTTAATAGAAAGGGATATTAATTTACCTACATTTCTACACAGAAGAGGAAGGAGAATGGAAACGAGAGAGTTCGAGTAGTGAAGCTATGAGATGGGATTATGATCTACTGAGCATAACTGTTTGGAGTCCCATAATTAGAATGTCAAAAATTGATGGCTAAGATTTACACAGGGCAGCGCAGGAGGGAAGAGGTAGCATTGCGATGTGCTATTTCAACAGAATGAGCTAAGGCAGCTATATACTTTCATTATGAAGATGGCGTAAAAGCATTGGACACATGGAACTCAGAACCAAGGAGGAAATTATAGATGGGATCGGCTCCAGCCCCTGCAGACTGACGATGAATGATGAGGCTGAAATTTTCCTAGACGGCTAAGTGAGGAATTTAGAAATCACTCGGTGCTTGTTCTCACAAGTGTCTTTAATTGGCTTGAAATGAACCAAATATGCAGAATCAAAAGTGTTTGAAGCTGTGATAAAAAGGCAATGTTATGATTCAGAATATAGAACATCCACCTGGAGGAGAAATCATCCTGCAGTCTGAGAGCATTTACAAGTCTGGTGTGTTACGAATATCACTTTCTGCTGAGCTCCAAAAGTTAAAAGCAGGGCTGGATGAATCTGTCACCTTTGGTTTCTCTCACATTCTCTTTTTTCCCCATTTTAACTTCAGTTTGCTTAAAAACAAAAATCCATGAATATCTGTTTGCATTTTTGTGGGCATTATTCCTAATATATGCATTTTTGTACACAATTTTGCCTAACCTGCACATTTTTGCACGCAATTTTGCATGCTATTTTCTGTATGTTTTTGTGCACACTTTCCCTTGATATGCATGCTTTCAGGTGCCTGTTTTGCTTGGAGATTTGCTCTGTAAAATTAGGAGAATTGCATAATTTGAAGGATAGTTGTATTTTAGATCACACATGGTTTGGACAGGGCAAATTGGATCATTTTGCACTGTTAACTACTAGTTAATAGATTCCTTGAGACAGAAATGAGGGCTCCAATCTTCTGTTGGTGAAAAACAGCCTTCATGAATAAAAGAATAGCGGGGCTTGCACACCCAACACAAATGCCACAAGATCACATTGCATGGCACACACAAAAAGGCAGATGCGGAGACTAGCTGAAGGCTACTGCACAAGACCAAAATGAGTAGATGCGGCCATACCTGCCAACTCTATGGAGCTGGGATACCTTGTCCCTCTCAATTCCTCTGGGGGCTCAACCCCCACAGTATTTTTCCCACCCTGCCTGTCCCTTCTTTCCTTGCTTACTTGATCCTTCCCTCCATGTGGCTTGGCACAGAGCAGCCGAGGAGGACATGGGCAGGTGGGCAAGCCAGCAAAGAAGGCGCCTTCCCGTGGTGGGGGCAGCAGCCTCTTCGGGGGCCACTCCCTAAATACCATGGTTGCAGCCAGAGCACTGATGAGAGCACCTGGCCAGCAGGCACTGGAAGCGGGCATAGGAGAGGCAGGGGCCCGGCTGGCACATGAGGGAAGGAGGGAAGAGAGGCAGGCAGAGCAAGAAGCCTGACCATGCTGTTGATAACACCACCAACTATCTGCCTGGGCCTGTGGAGCCCCAACCCCTGGCTCAGAAGGAGCCACTGGGGCCACATCACTGCCACGTTTCACTCCGCCCAATGTTGTAACAGCGTCAGAGTGGTGCGCAGAGCCCTCCATAAGATGATGGCAGCTATGGATGGGACAGTGTTTCATACTGTCCTGTGGTGGAGATGAACAGGGGTGGCTGTCAGGCTTTAGGGAAGCGGTTTCCTCCCTCCCTTTGGCCATGGATAAGCAGAACAAAGTGAAAATAGTCTCTTACCGGTTAAAGAGATTTTTAACGTTCACAGCAAAAGAACAAAGACTCCATTCTCAGAGGAAAGGTGCTCCCAATTAAGGTTTCCACCCACTTCCCCCCAAGCCACCCCCATCACTTCTTCATCTGGCAACCTGATCTAACAACCATTTGGCCTTCTGTGTAGCTACCTTATCTGCTCTCCATGACCTTGGACTGATCGTTTGGACACTTTCCAGCAAAAGGGAGTCTGTTAATTCTCTTCTCCCTGTTCTTCTTTTCCTAGCTGTTCCCCACTCAGTTCTGCCCAGCTGTTGTCTTCTGAACTATGCCCCTCTGCAAACCACTGCTCCAAATCTATACTGCTCCACTGTTCCTGGGCAGCTTCAGGATCCTGGTCAGGAGCAGGGGGAGGGGAGGCTCCTCATAAGAGTAGCTCTCCTCAGCTTGGTCTCTGACAGTGACCTTCTGAATGCAAATGGAAACCTGCATGAGGACTCTCTGATGGTGCACAGCAAACAAATGTGTCTGAGCCCTCCCAGTGTGGAATTTATGGAGCATCTAGATCCCAAAGCCTATGCTGCCACTGTGTGTGTCTTTTCTGAGGATAGTATTTTCTGATGGGAGCATGCATCTGCATACCAGGTGCTAGGAATCACAGGTGGGGATAATGTTTTTACACTCAGATTCTGCTTGGGGGCTTCCCATGGGCATATGGTTGGCCACCGTAAGAACGGGGCGGGTATCCAATTAACATGTTCCATCAGCACAAGGATTTCTGCTTGCAGAACTGAAAACAACAAAACCCCTTCTATGCCCTCCCCATGCCCTCCTCAAATCTGCCCTGGAGAGTTGGGGAACCTGTTCCTTATTCCTTTTTGCACCACATCTTATTAGACTGGGAGCCTGTAGGCAGGGACTGCTTTAGTTTTCCATATATGTACAGTGGTACCTCAGGTTAAGAACTTAATTCGTTCTGGAGGTCCATTCTTAACCTGAAACTGTTCTTAACCTGAGGTACCACTTTAGCTAATGGAGCCTCCCACTGCCGCCGTGCCTCTGCCGCGCGATTTTTGTTCTCATCCTGAAGCAAAGTTCTTAACCTGAGGTACTATTTCTGGGTTAGCAGAGTCTGTAACCTGAAGCGTCTGTAACCTGAGGTACCACTGTACTTTATATCACCTGGGAAATATTCGGCACTTTATAAGAGTTTAGCAGCAGCAGCAACAATAGCAATTCAAATCAATAATTATAAGAATTGTGGTAAATAGTAATTGCGAAGTTCGCAACTATTTTAGGCATACGAAGGACTTCCAACACTTGAGTGCTATATAAACATTCAGTATTCTCCCCCTCCTCCTCTAAGATGATATATTCTTCATGTTAAGTGTTACCCATCATGCTGCTTGTTTGAAAGCTTGGATCAGGCCTCAGACACTTGATGAAAAGAGGCATTTATTTCATGAAAATGGAGGGGAGGCCCAGGTCAGAGGATAAGCACATGTCTTCTGCATGCAAAGGTCCCAAGTTTGTTCATTCTTCCTCTTTCTTTTTGCTTAATAGACAATGGTTCGGTCAGAAGAGCAAGTGACTCTTAATCCCAAGGTTGTGGGTTCAAGTCCCACATTGGATTAAAGATTGCTGCACTGCTGGGGGTTGGCCCTATCCAACTCTAGAATTGTACGATTCTATTATTATTCTTTCTCCTTTCAGACCAAAATTGTCTCCCAGTCCCTGGCATCTCCCATGTGAAAAGGATCAGGTAGTAGGGGATATGGAGGGCCCCACCCCACCCTGCACAAACACATCTGACACCCCAGAGAGCCACTGTCAGTCACAATACTGCGCCACCTAGACCAAATGTCTGACCTGGTACACAGCAGCTTCCTATGATTCTATCTTCTCAGAAATGGAATAGCACCAGAATTTGTTGGTGCCTTCCTGTCTGGGGACAGTAAGATCACGAGCGAAGATTCCCATAACAGAGGAGGACTCTAATAACTGATAAAGCACGATCCTGGAGGAGCTGGTTTTCATAACCTCTTTACTGGAACTCGCTCATATTAGGAGACGAGATATGAAAACTTCCTTTTGCAGGACTTGGCCTGCCTCCATCCTGGGCTGAGTGAGATCCAGCAGCTCAGCCCCACCCTAACCCTAAACCGAGATGAATCCCTTTATTTCCTCAACCTTCATGGAAGCCCATGTTTATGACAGCTTACAAGCCAAGAGAGGCTCCCTCTCCCCTCTACAGAGACAGCTTACAAGCCGAGATAGGATGTTAGGCTAGTTCAGCTTCAGTGAACTACTGAGAATTTACCCCTGAGAAGGTGCTTAATTTCTGAAGTGAGGTTTGTTGAGGCTCAAGCTTGCCTGGACGTTGCACCTTCTGTTCTGCACACAGCACCTTGTACCTGATCTCATCTGAGTGGTGAGAGATGACTGTATTTATTCCGTGACTGGGGGGGAGGGAGCAGATTGCACATGCATAAACGTAAAGGTAAAGGGACCCCTGACCATTAGGTCCAGTCGTGACCGACTCTGGGGTTGCGGCGCTCATCTCGCTTTATTGGCCGAGGGAGCCGGCGTACAGTTTCCGGGTCATGTGGCTAGCATGACTAAGCCGCTTCTGGCGAACCAGAGCAGCGCACGGAAACGCCGTTTACCTTCCTGCTGGAGCAGTACCTATTTATCTACTTGCACTTTGATGTGCTTTCAAACTGCTAGGTTGGCAGGAGCAGGGACCGAACAAGGGGAGCTCACCCCGTTGCGGGGATTCGAACCACCGACCTTCTGATTGGCAAGTCCTAGGCTCTGTGGTTTAACCCACAGCGCCACCCGCGTCCCACTACCCACTTACCCATGAGAAGGTGCTTAATTTCTGACGTGAGGTTTATAATAATAATAATAATAATAATAATTTATTACGGCCGTAGGCCCATACAGATAAAAACAAGACATAAATAACAGCCTGTGCACATGGGAAAAAAACAGCCGCTAAAACACTACTATAACAATAAGCTACTATAAGATGGAATGGCATACTACGCCTTAATTTGCTTGTGGTGCTCCTTGGCGACGCGTTTGGGTAAGGACAGCGACCAGGAACCTAGCCACTTTCAGGGTCGTATGGGCATCCTTATCCTGCAAGATTTGGGCAAGGTGGAATTTTGGTGGAGTACCCTCTAATTTCTGTATGATTGATCCCAACAAGTTTGCCCGTGGCACCTTAAATAAGGGGCAAGTGAACATAATGTGCTGAAGCGACTCCAGCATCTCCTTATCACATTCGCACATGGCGGAGGTTTGGCCCTTTGAGAATCTATGTCTCAGGACATTGGAGGGAAAAACATTAAACCTCGCTTTGGTGAAGGCCAGCCTATGGGCAACAGTCGAAAGGGAGGAGAGGTATGATGGAACGCAATAAGTTAAAGTGATACCAATGTTCTGGGGCGAACAAACACCTCCCCCCAGCATATAATTTTGCTGTAAATCGATGTCATCCAGTCTTTGGCGGATCAGTCTTTGAGCAGTGATTTGATCTAGTTTTAGGGAATCTAAGGGAGAGATTCCATAGCTCAGGAGTTTGGCATGAATTCTACTGGTCCAAAGGCTGGGGAATTCATCTCGCCATAAGCATTGGGCAAGGTAATGGTCTGGTAATCTATGCCACAATGATAACCAATAATTGAAGACTTGCTTCCACAGGCAGGTTTCTAAGGATGCGATCCTCAATTCTAAACGCATGGCTGCGTTGCTTACGCACAGGGGGGAGCATTAGGAGCCGACGTAGGAATTGGTTTTGCAAAGTCTCAAGAGGAGCAAGGTCTGTCATTACGACCCAGAGCGGGGCAGCATAAGCAAGCACGGGAACCACTTTTGCCTTGAACACCTTTAGGGCCGAGGGAACATGCAAAGCTCCATCCGAAAAGAAAATCGGAGGAGCGCATATGACAGAGTTTTGGCCTTATTAAGTAGGTGTTGAATATGTGCTTTCCACCCCAAATTGTATTGAAAAATAACTCCTAGGTATTGAAATTTTAGGACTTGCTCTATTTTTGCTCCACCAAGCTTCCATTCGTATAATCTCCGACTTCTGGCGAAAATCAGAATCTTAGATTTAGCATGATTGATGGTTAATTGGTTGAGTTGACAATACGTGGCAAAGATCTTCAGAGCTCTGGTTAGTCCAACACGTGTATAAGATAGAATTACCGCGTCGTCCGCATATAAAAGGAGTGGACAGCGGTAATCCGCTAGTCTAGGCGCATGTGTACTTGGAGATGAGTTGACTAGGGGTGCTCGCATGTCGCTGATGAATAGATTGAATAGGCAGGGGGCCAATATACATCCTTGGCGCACTCCCTTGTTTATTGGTATCGAATTTGTGAGGTCGCCCGCAGGAGTAAGTCTCACTCTGGCAAGGGTACCTTCGTGGAGCTGACTTATAAGCCATAAGAGCCTTCTATCGATGCCCTGTTTCGCAAGTTTCTCCCAAAGAATATTTCTAGGAACGCTGTCGAAGGCTGCCTTAAGATCTAAGAAGGCAGCACACAGATAGCCCCGGCTGACGTGAGGTTTGATGAGGCTCAGGCTTGCCTGGATGTTGCACCTTCTGCTCTGCACACAGCCCCTTGTCCCCGATCTCATCTGAGTGGTGGGAGATGACTGTATTTATTCTGTGACTGAGGGGGGGGGGAAGCAGTTTGCACATGCGTAAAGGCGCTCTATTCCCTTTTTTTGCTCTTTCACTTGTTACTTGAGTTGAGACAAAGCAATAAAAACAGCTGTGGAACTAGCTGGCACCTCTATGACACTCCATGCGATGCTGCAGGCAATTATGGGGAGGGCAGAAGACAGCGATATCAATTCTGGGGGACTTGGAAATAATAGGAAGCTCATCGACCTCTGGATAACTAGGATCTTCACTTGTGGATAAGCATGGATGAAGTTGTTGACTTCAGTTTTTCATTTTCCCAATCTTTAAGTTCAGTTTGCTAGGCTTCCTCATCAGTTTGCTTTAAAAAAAAAAAAAAGTCTTTACAAGAATTCATTAGCATTTTAACATTTATTCCAGTGAACCAGTTTTAATGCAATCTAGACAATTTCTGTAAGTAATTTTCCCCAATTTTATGCATATCTGTATGTTATTTTCCCAGATATATACGCATTTTTGTGCACTTTCCCCATGAATATGGGTACATTATTTGCTTGGAGAGCCGTGCCACAAAAGTTTTAAGAGAAAAGTTTTTAAGAGAACTGCAGATTTCAAAGTTGTGTTTCAGGTCATCTATTGTTTTGGGAAATATGAACTAGGCGGTTTTCATTAAAATATGAAGTGAACTGCATCCCCCCCATCCCCACTCTGAAGAAGCAATATTTTCTTCATTATTACTTCCTGGAGAAATCCCAGACCTTCCTGAGGCACAACTGTGTGAGATGATGCCTTCCTACTCTTTCCAGAATGCCCCTTGTGGCTTCTATCCTGATTATTTCTCTGTGGGATGTCAGTAGCCGGCGCAGAGTTGACACCAGCCTTAGATGAGGGGCCCGATCACATCAGACTGGTAGGAGTCAGGTGTGAATTATGCACTGTGCAGTGAAAGTGGATAGAGATAAGTTTTTCTCCCACTCATAATACTATAATTTTGGGGGCATGTCATCCAATGAAACTGATCAGTAAGAGTTTTAGGGCAGGCAAAAGGAAATTCTTCACACAGAACATCATGCATTTATAGAATTGGTTGCCACCAGATTCTAGTAGCATGTTGTTGTTTAGTCGTTTAGTCGTGTCCGACTCTTTGTGACCCCATGGACCAGAGCACGCCAGGCACTCCTGTCTTCCACTGCCTCCCACAGTGTGGTCAAACTCATGCTGGTAGCTTCGAGAACACTGTCCAACCATCTTGTCCTCTGTTGTTCCCTTCTCCTTGTGCCCTCCATCTTCCCCAACACCAGGGTCTTTTCCAGGGAGTCTTCTCTTCTTATGAGGTGGCCAAAGTATTGGAGTCTCAGCTTCACAATCTGTCCTTCCAGTGAGCACTCAGGGCTGATTTCCTTCAGAATGGATAGGTTTGATCTTCTTGCAGTCCATGGGACTCTCAAGAGTCTCCTCCAGCACCAGAATTCAAAAGCATCAATTCTTCGGCGATCAGCCTTCTTTATGGTCCAGCTCTCACTTTCATACATCACTACTGGGAAAACCATAGCTTTAACTATACGGACCTTTGTTGGCAAGGTGATGTCTCTGCTTTTTAAGATGCTGTCTAGTAGCATAGGGAGCTTCAAATTCAAGGTTATGTCTACCAATCTTTCAAGTTCAAAGGGGACTTCTCAGAGGCATTTGGTTGGCCACTATGGGAAATACCATGTTGGGCTAGATCGGGGAGGGAGGAGGAATCCTGTGGCTCTCCAGATGTGGCTGGAGTTCAGCTCCGTTACCCCAACCATTGGACATGCTGGGTGGGATGATGGGAGCTGGAATCTAGAAATACCTGGAAGGCCACAAGTTCCTCACCCCTGGGCTGGATGGACCTTTGGCCTGATCCAGAAATGTTTCAATGTCCTTCTGCATCTGAGTTGTATGGTGCTCTATAACTAACCCTGAAGGCAACACCTTGACAACTTTTGAGCAATGCTCCTTATTGCACACAACCAGTTTCTTTCTCAGAGGTGGGGAACCTGTGGTCATCCGATTACTGATACCATATAGTCTGACTCCATCTTTCCAAAGGGGGAAGGGTCTCTGTCCTCAACCCCCGCACACCAATACCTGTTACTAGGCTCCATCTCCCACCATCCCTAATCATTGGTCATGCTGGTTAGGACTGGTGTGAGCTGGGAGTCCAACAACATCTGGAGGACCAAAGGATCTCCATTCCTATTCTATACAATGGTGCCATTGATTGAAATAATCTTACTCTTCCCTGCTCTTTCCTAAGACATATTTCAGGTGGATTGCCCCACCCCAAGGTCAATTGCAAGGGAATGGTGGAATCACCTCCATCCCTGCATCGTTAGCGTTGGCAAGCCCCTAATTTTCATTCATGTGGGGCTCCAATAAGCCAGGCACCTCGATTTAATGCCGAAATCACTCCTCTTTATACCTGGAGGCTGGTGCTCTCTGTTAATTTAGTAACAGATTTGCATTTTTATCACTTTCTTGGCTTAACTGATGAACATTAATTCCCTGCAAGTTTCTACAATTGCTGGATACTTAATTATTTGGCCAAAACCTTCTGCAGAGAGAACCTTGTGCTATAAAAAGGGCAATTTCCATCTTGATCTATTTTAGTACTTTTCAGAAGAAAAGAAAGGGGGTGGGGAGAGAGAGAGAGAAAAGAAAGAAAGAAAGAAGCAGGATTGATCCCTGAAGCAGCTCCTGGCCTGCGACTCGGTGGCAGAATAAGAAGAATGGGTGAATAATCTGTCTGATTTCTTTAGCTGACGAATGTCAGTTCCATTTTTATATTCAAGTCTGTCGACATTGCAACAGATTTCATCTTTGCCTTTCGTTCATCAACAGCTATTCTGTTCCTTTCCATCACTCTTGCAGGCTCCCCCCCCCATTTGAAATGGGAAAAGAGGCTGATGGGGGGGCGGGGGGGAGAAAATTTGTGCAGAAACTGTTTTTCTTTTCGCTCTTCCAGAAACTGAAAACCTGGGAGATTGGTATTTATCACAAGGCAGGAATCTTAAGTCTGCATTAGATACTGTTACAGAAAGGTACATAAAAGATGGATATATCATTTGCCAGGGCAAAGCCTGCCGGGCTTCTTCTAAGGGGTTAAAGGTCACATGAACAGTGGTGACACGTTTAAAAAGTAATAGCGTTGCTTAAAAGAGGATTAATCAAGTGTAGAACTACACCCCTCCCCCCCAAAAAAATATTGAGGGATGGTACCTGCTGACCAAGCGCTGACCTCAGCTTAGCACAGGCTGAGACTTGAGTTGAAAGGAGTGTATCTTGAGATGGAAGAGAAGGGCAGTCCACAGACAGAGGACAGAAGGTTCACAAGGGCCTGAGGCATTGTGTGTGTGAGAGAGGAGGCTACTTGTCATAACCTGGAAAAAATCTTGGTGTTTATATTAAACTGCATCACCTCGAAATGTCCTGATAGCGGGGGAGATGTTGAAGGGGAGAAGGCTCAAAAACGATGACGATGACGATAATTTGATTTATTACCCACCCTTTAGCCTGAAGTACCAGGGCTTCTGAGGATGCAATTTTCGTATCCTTTCATGCTTCTACAATTAGTGCAGGTGGCGGAGTCCAAAAGAGACAACAATGCCTGCTCCTTAAAACTCCTACATCGCTTGGTATCCCCTCCTCTTTGAGTCTTTCACTTCCATTTAAAAGAGCGCATTGGAAAATCAGCCGCAAGGGAGCTCGCTACCTGGATTCTGATGGCAGCCCGGAGTGTGCGAACTGCGAACATTAATGCATATTTTCAAATCAAATGCACATTCTCACCTGATTTCTCTTCTTTCTGGAAACCCCCCAACCAATTTAGCTGTCATTTATGCAAGACTTGAGAGTTGACAGTTTAGCTTTGGTGTGTATACATGTGTTTAATTTGTGCATCTCCCTGTCATGGCACAACCACAGTCATAATAACTGAAAAAAGGGGGGGGGGAGGTGTGTGTGTCTTGTTTAGATCTTATGCAGATCTTATGTGTGATCATAGGAGAAGGCAGCTTTTTAATTACCTGGGTGGTGATGGGGGTGGGGCAGGGTCCCAGGCCTGCCCTTAATGAGTTGTTGCACAAGTTAGCAGATGACACTTGCCAGCTCATTAGCTGTGGTTTCTCTTCATCAGAATCAACCGGTCTGCAAGGACAAAAACGAATGGCTTCATATTACAGGGAAGGTCAATTTAGGCCAAACATTCGCCACGACCTCCCGAACTATACAAGTGATCCATGGAGCAATATTATCAAACCAGCTGAGGAAGTTGGGGAAACTCTTTTCTCCTTGCCCCCAGAAATTTCAAAGGGAGAAAAAACAAGTCAGGTGCATAGATGTAGGTTTTGTAAAGCCAATTGGTCATTGCGAGGAGAGTACATTCATCTCCCCCGAGGTATGAATTTAATAAGATGCCTTGTGGTGATCCAGGCTATTGGTCCAGCTACCTTGCTGGCAACAGAGGCTATCCACGTCTCAGGCAGAGGTCACTTTTATACCTGGTACCTGATATTCTGTGATGGGAAAATGCTGAGTGGAAAGTACTCAGCGGTGAACAGGACTCTGAACAGGATGAAGCTGGGTGGGATCTTTGGCTCATGAAGTATCCATTATTGGACTATGGCCTCTCCATCTGCTTTATCCTAACTTAAACGCAGTATAAGGAGTCTCTATAAGAGTATACAGTGGTACCTCGGTGTAGTGGTTCTATTTTATTTTTTTAAAAAAATGATATTTATTAAGCATTTTAAAGTTACCAAAAAAACACACAAAGAAACAAAGAAGAAAGAAAACAAGGGAAAAGCAAACAGCAGTCAAACCATACAAATCAATAAAAACAAAAAAAAACAAAAAAAACTAAGACAAAGCACATCAAAATCCAAAAAACAAAAGTAAACCACAAACAATTAAAAACAGATCCAATATTCCCAAATCCTTAACTGTCATTGCCTTATTTCATCGACCTCCTCAAACCTTCCTTTTTTGTATTCCAGTTATTAATTATAGCAGCAAATCCTTCCCATTTTGCATAATATTCTGTCATTAAATTACCTTAATCTATTTTAACCTTATCTTACTATAAAAGACCCTAAAACTTAAAACTTAAATCTTATTTATATCAATTTCTCATAACCATAACATATTCTTGCATAGTTCTTTTTAACATTTCTGCTAAAGCCAAATAGTTTCGTTCCAACATTTTTCTAATACTCATTAATTTTACAAAACAATCCTAAACAGAATTTTTTATAAAAACTTTCTTCCAATCTTCCTCCAACGTCTCTTCCTCCTGGTCCCGGGTTTTGTTAGTCCTTTCTGTCTCATCCATTTAGCTCATTAACCTGGTAATCTTATGTCCGAGGCCCTTAAGTCTCTTCCATGTCCCTTCCGCAGATCTTCTTCATATTTATACCTGTACTTTACTTTGTCTCCTGGTCCTTTCACTCGTGGAAACTCCAACTTGACAGTATTTTTGTCCCTTCTCGACAGCCCCTTTTCCATAATCCACACTGAACTCCATGTGGTATTTAAAAGCATGTTTCAAAGTCCCTCCAAAGTTGAGGACCCCCACAACCCCAAACTCCTCACGGCCCATTGCCAGACTTGGAAAGTCAAGACATCCCTGCATAGGGGGGTCTATCCAGCCCCCCATCTCCAAGCCCAACAAAACTCTCTCTCTCCAAATCTGGCTGTTTCCAAGTTCATTTGTCAAATCCAACAACTCATGTTCCTGCTGGGCCACAGCTCCCTCCATCTCTGCCACCCGAGGTCCAACAACGATCTCCTCCCTCATCTGATCTGTCAGAGCACACTCCTGAGTTGATTCCTGGGTGGGTTCTATATAGATACCCACTACCTGTCCAAAATTTCTGATCGCAACAGTCATCAAATCCGTCTTCTCATGTAACTGTTCCAATAAAGCACTTGCCTTACAGAAAGCACGCACCAGAGCCTCTGAATACATTGTTATGCAAGGTCAGAAGGCTGTTCCCACGATCTTAATCTGTTTGCAGCTGCGAAGCTCCCCAGTTCAAGTTTAATAACAGTTTCACAAGCTCCCTCTAGGGGAAGAACTTCTATTTGTAACAATCTCTTTTCTTTTTTTTCTTTTTTAACAGCAGATCTAACAACAAAGTTTCCTTTTTCAGATATTTTGTCAGTATTTGTTCCTTTAAAATGCGAAAGAGAACAATGGAATCACTATGTTTCTCTTCTTTTAACTATCTGTCAAAAACATTTGTCTATAGTCAATGAACTTCCTAAAAACGTCTGTCCTGACATCCCGCTCCCAGGTTCAAGACGGTGGAAAATTACTTTTCTTTACACTCTCTCCTGCAAGTTTAAACCATCCGGAAAAAATCCCCCCTCTTCTCCTGCTTCCGAAGGGGGTTCAGTAGTTTTAGATGATGAAAGTTGATCCTTTACAAACGATTTTCTGAACTCTAGTTTGCCATGTCTTTGCTTTAATCTATCTACAAGAAGCGGCAGGCTGACTTCCTGTTTAGACCTTCCCGCTTCAGTGCCAAATTAAGAAGAGTTTCTAATCCAATTTTCCCTTCTACTCACAGATTGTTGTTTAAAGTCCAATTGTCCAAATTTGATCTGCTCACGGGTAGTTGTTTTTGTAACCGAATTGTCCCAGGAAAAAGGTAGCGCTCTCCGGCAATGGCTGTGCGGCTTCGCTCCACGGAAGAAGCAGTTGACTCTCAGCACCGCGCCACTAACCCCTCTTCGCTCCGGAGCCCGTAGTTGGGTTCCTTTACGGATTGGGGGGGGGGGCGCAAAAGGTGCCCGCCGAGTCCCATGGTCACAGGCTTCCTCCGCCTGTGATTTTTTTGAAGGGTCCCCGCTTCGCCGTAGCAGAACAGACCCGTTTTCTGTGGAGCCAGTCCCTCCGGATCAGAGGGAGTCCGCCATTACCGATGGCGCCACCCCGGAAGTCCTGGTGTAGTGGTTCTAGGGGTTGCTCGTGCGTAAGCCGGTGCAAACACCTGGCTGGGTTGCCTGAGTGAACCTTTTCTGTCTGGACAGCCACTCACCCGTGGCTGTCTCAATCGCTGGCAGAATCCGTCAGTGGGCGTTTCTTAAACTTCTTCCAGCAAAGAAGCTCTTTGACGCCTAGTCTCCTCCTACTCTCTCTGCGCAAAAGCCTTCTGCGCAAGGAGGGCGTAGGCAGCGGAGGACCTCTACTCTCCCCGCTGGTCCCCGGCAAGGAGTCATGGGACCGCCTCGCTGCTTCCCCCATCTGCCCCCCTTCTCCACTGGTGCTACGCTGATTCTCTTCCCCAGAAGATGGGCTGCCTCTCCCAACCCCGGGACGCTCTCTGGAATCCCTCTGGATTTTGCTCTCTCCCTCCGGCACTGATGGCAGTTCCCTGACACTTGGGTTAAGTACTTAATTTGTTCTGGAGGTCTGTTCTTAACCTGACACTGTTCTTAACCTGAAGCACCACTTTAGCTAATGGGGCCTCCTGCTGCTGCCACGCCGCCGGAGCACGATTTCTGTTCTCATCCTGAAGCAAAGTTCTTAACCTGAAGCACTATTTCTGGGTTAGCGGAGTCTGTAACCTGAAGAGTATGTAACCTGAAGCGTATGTAACCCAAGGTACCACTGTATTGTATTTTAAAATGGGGTTTCAGAGTTTTTAGGGGTTTTTGAATGTCTTATGCAGATTTTTCAATTTCATTGTTCTGTATGGGACAATGACAATAAAGAGATCGTATCATATCGTATCGTATCATAATGTGACTCTGGGCTAGGCACTGAAACTCAGAGCCAGTTAGGGTGGGTTTGAATCTTTTAACTCCGCACCCCTGGAAGGCCAAATTTGGCAGGTGGGTGGGGTTGCACTCTTGCTAATCACCTGACAGTATAGTGATGTCAGGTGATGCTGCACCTTGAAAAACTGACTGTAGGGACTTCAAAGAGAAGCATGGGGGCAAATAGGTTTGCTAACAGCGCCATGCTGCTCTTTGAGCCTTTCAAAACCAGAGGTTTAAAGAGCAGTGTGGGGCTGTTTTGTACACAGGGTTTTCAGCCCAGCACGGAGCTTTGGCTGCATGAGCCTGTTCCCAGCAGAAGGAAAACCCCCACACGTCTAGTGATTGGCTGGCAGGTGTGCTTTTTAAAAATGACCACATGGTCAAAATTTGACCAAACTATTCCCCTCACATGGTGACAATTTCTAGAGTTCCTTTGGAAGAGGGTTTGACTGTTAAACTACTCAAGGAATTATAGTTTTATGAGGGGAATTGAGGCCTCCTAACAACTCTCCTGCCAACTTAGCAGTTCGAAAGCACGTCAAAGTGCAAGTAGATAAATAGGTACCACTCCAGCAGGAAGGTAAATGGCGTTTCCGTGCGCTGCTCTGGTTTGCCAGAAGCGGCTTAGTCATGCTGGCCACATGACCCGGATGCTGTATGCTGGCTCCCTCGGCCAGTAAAGCGAGATGAGCACCGCAACACCAGAGTCGTCCGCAACTGGACCTAATGGTCGGGGTCCCTTTACCTTTACCTTTAACAACTCTCAGCACTCAGGATTCTTGGAGGAGGGCATGACCAGAGGCACCAACTTGCATCAAAGATTAGGGGAGCCAGCGTTGTGTGTGTGTGTGTGACATCACACGCTTGTTGCACATCACGTGACATCACATCAACATGTCTGGAGGAGCTGTGGCAGAGCTGAATGCAGTGCCAGCATGGCTTCAACGGCTGACAGCTCTTCCTCTCTGGTGCTTGGCCTCTTCCTGCTCTTGCTGTTGCCATTGGGGGGCCAAAAGAGCTTGGCCCCTAGGACATGGCACCCCTGGCCATGACTACTTAAAGTGGTATGAAATGGTTTTAACCGTATAATGCAGATGGTTGCAGCGAAATCAGCCATTTGAGAAAATGGGCTTTGGTCCATTTGAAGCTTACGCAGTGGTACCTCTGGATGTGAACGGGATCCATTCCAGAGCCCTGTTCGCATTCTGAAGTGAACGCAACTCGCGTCCGTGCGTCTGCGTGTGTGTGGGTTGTGATTTGCCACTTTGCGCATGCACGTGACGTCATTTTGAGCATCTGTGCATGCGCGAGCGGCGAAACCCAGAAGTAACGCATTCCGTTACTTCTGAGTTGCTGCGGAGCGCAACCCGGAAATGCTCAACCTGAAGCA